AAGGAAATGAATGGATCAGTTGTGGATAATATAACTAGACTGATTATTCTAACCACTATAATTGTTGAAGTATGGATTGACAAGGAAATTAATGGATCAGTTGTGGATAATATAACTAGACTGATTATTATAACCACTATAATTGCTGAAGTATGGATTGACGAGGAAGTCAGGGGACCAGTAATGGATAATATAACTAGACTGATTATTCTAACCACTATAATTGTTGAAGTATGGATTGACAAGGATGTCAGGGAATCAGTAGTGGATAATATAACTAGACTGATTATTCTAACCACTATAATTGTTGAAGTATGGATTGACAAGGATGTCAGGGAATCAGTAGTGGATAATATAACTAGACTGATTATTCTAACCACTATAATTGTTGAAGTATGGATTGACAAGGAAATGAATGAACCAGTAGTGAAGCACCACATAACATGGGGACTAAAATTCAGTTTATTTAAAACTTATATATTTTGAATACATTGCTATATTACAAGTGGACATGCGTTGAAAGAATCGACCATCTTGTTAATAGCAGATGTACAGAGATTAAACCAAGTAATAAACCTCGTAACCCACTTATATCTTCATCCTATCACTTTGGTTATTATAGCTTGTTTAAAGCACTCATCATCTTTATTTATTCACGCACGCGTTGATTAATATAAACAATCTTGAAGTACAACGACACAGAAATGTACTAAATCATAGCATGCTTATTCAAACACGTAATATGAGTCAAAGCTTCATAAACCAGGCGTGGATACAGCATGATTTTTGTAAAACTTACAATTTAATAAAGTAATGGAAAAGGGTGTGTGTTCGTATGTTCGTATGTCTTCTTGATAGCAAAAGCCACATCGGGTTATCTGCTGTGTCCACCGAGGGGAATCGAACCCCTGATTTTAGCGTTGTAAATCCAAAGACTTACCGCTGTTCCACGTGGGGGGGGGGGGGACAAAGGAAGAGGGATTAACGATATAAACTCTTACCATATACCGTTTCTATCAATTCATACAACACACGTATACATACGTATACAAGCTTTGTATACGTGTGTACGATAACGATGTACATACGGAAAAATTCCGTATTTGCAACTACTTTTTACTTCAGGAAAAAAACCATAATGCATTAAAATAGAGCCAAATCAGAAATATATATTTACCATCTCATATTAATAAGCATTGATGGTAGAACTGAAAAACGGTTGTAATAGATGAAGCCAAATTACTCTTAAATACAATCTGAATTAAATTATGAGGAAAATTATTTGTAGCTCATCAGTAAAGAACACATCACGTTGAAAGAAGACAGGAACTCAAGTTAACTTGAAGGATGGATGTATTTGTTTGTAATTAAGCATCAAGCTACACAATGGGCTATCTGTGCTCTGCCCACCACGGGTATCGAAACCCGGATTCTACCGTTGTAAGTCCTCAGACATACCGCTGTGACACTGGGGGTGCAGAATGGATGTAATTAAAATTATATATCCGTGTAATAGAAAATTGAGTTTTAAACTTGATAAAATACAGATATATTTGAAGTTAATAGATTATCAAAATATACAATGAGGATATAAAAATCAAGTTAAAACAATAAGTGTTATGTGCTTTCTGAGAGAGACGATTACTTAATAAATGCTAAAATTAAACATTAAATAGGAAAGTTGAATCGAAAGTACAATAACGTACCTGCTTTCAGAAAGTCAGACTGGGCTATATTTATAACGGATATAATGTATTGCATAAAATTATGAATACATTTTAAATATCATTATACATTCAAATATGGTTAAGTTAAACTGTACGACAATCAAGACTGCGAGATTCAGATGTTAAACATCGCACGTATTATCAGAAGGCCCGGCATGGCCTTGTGGTTAGGGCGCTCGACTCGCAATCTGAGGGTCGGGGGCTCGAATCCCCGTCCCATCAAACATGCTCGCTCCTTCAGCCGTGGGGGCGTTATAATGTGACGGTCAATCCCACTATTCGTTGGTAAAAGAGTAGCCTAAGAGCTTGTGGTGGGTGGTGATGACTAGCTGCCTTCCCTCTAGTCTTACACTGCTAAATTAGGGACGGCTAGCGCAGATAGCCCTCGTGTAGCTTTGCGCGAAATTCAAAAACAAACAGACAAGTATTAACAGATGTAATCTTCCATCAAAAGAGTATGATAGAAATGGTAGTTAGTTTGTTTGTTGTTAAGCGCAATGCTACATAATAGGCAGTCTGTGCTCTTCCCACCGCGGGTACCGAAACCTGATTTTCAGCGTTATAAGTTCTTAGACTTTCTAATGAGCCACCGGTGGAGCAGACCCGTTAGAAATGACTTATTTTGACAGAACCCTTTAAAGTTATTGATATAGATAACTTTCAAATTAACAATTATTTCATACATCTGAACTCCATAATAAAAAGGAATACGTATTGATATATATTTTATTGAAACATACATGCTTGATAAAATTAGGGGTGGCCAAAGAAAGCCCAAATACTCAACCCATCAGCTTTATGTGTAACAACAAACTAAATGCAATTATTGTAGACGGGCTTGGGAAGACGGCTAGCCAACACCACCCGCCACCAATTCTTAGGTTACTTTTGTTAAAAAGAATAATGTGATCTGACTGTCACTCTACAGCCACAAAGTGTACAGCGTGAATTTTCCTTTTGGCCGTAATGGGGAACGAAACGACGGAACCTCAAATGCACAGTCCGGCACGCTAACCATTGGCCCATACGAAGGTAAAACTTTCATGAGCACGTTAATGAATCTCTTACTATACAGTACATACATCTGGCGTGTAACATCTTTTATTTCTCTTACTTTTCAATATTCTTAATAAGCCCTGAGTGGCTCAGCGGTGAGCTTGAGGGCTTATAACGCTAACATTCGACGTTCGAACCTTACTCCGGGCAAAACGCGAATAGCTTATTGTGTAGCTTTGCGTTTAATGCAAATAAAATTTGTTATTAACATTTATAAGTACTAGCGTTAAAATGTTACAAACTGAAGTAATAATTGAATATCTTGTTCTATGTCTCTAAGATATTTACATTTTAACGATCTTGGCAGAATTAATCGAATAATTGACGCTACGAACCATTCGTTAATATTTAGGCCCGATTTAAGGAGTAAGGTGCCTGGGTGTAAGAGCGCTGATCAGGTCCTGGTGTGTCCTTTAGCTATATTCATTGAAAGTTTGTGATAAAGTTGAGAGTTAAGGTCCGGGAGATAATTCCTGCTTGATGGTTAAACTACAGATAAAGATCTTCTGAAGTCGGATTCAAAGAGCTCCTTTGTGTAAAACATGCCACAGAGTATTCTAACATAATTAGGTCCATTTATTTTGGGAATTAAAAGTTTACTAAGAAAATTACGATGATAAACGAAATCGTGTTCTACGATCGTGTCTCAAAATACGGAGAATGCTCGGTACAAAATCCTCCCAATGTTTTCTATTAAACGCAAAAATTCCTAACAGCGTGTTATCATAAATGCTCATCAATTTTACTAAAACACATTTCAATTAACCGCGTAACGGTCTACATGTTACGTGAATCGAAAAACTAAGCCAAGTAAAAAACAAACAAACCTGCTTGTTTAAATTTACATTAAAAAATTGTTTGTTTGGAATTAAGCACAAAGCTACACAATGGGCTATCTCTGCTCTGCCCACCACGGGTATCGAAACCCGGTTTCTAGCGTTGTAAATCCGCTGACATACCGCTGTGCCATTGGGGGGGGGGGGGGCATTAAAAAATCCCCATATATTCGTACACAAAATATATTATATAATCATATGTATTTCCAAGGAAAAAATATGCCATGCAACAACATAAGTTCACTTAAAGTTAAGCTCTCATACAAAATAGTAAACAGTAAATACAACTGCGAAATTTAACACTCTAGATACAAAGAAACCAGATTCTCATAGGACACTCAGTACTCATATTGTTACTCCGAGAGTTGGTGGTTCGTGATTCGCGATCTGTTGTCCCAAAATGTACTTCGCACTTTGGGGTCGTTGGTACATTATAGAAGTGACGGTCCAAGAAGAGAAGCCCAAGAATTGGCAGTAGGTACTGTTGACTAGCTACTTTCGTTTTAGTCTTACTAGCTCAAAATTAAAGATGGCTCTGCGCAAGTAGCCAATTGTGCAGCTTGGTTCAACAATTCCACAAACACAAGCTCACTACCATACATATACTATATATTCACTTTATCTTTGCTTTCATTACTAAAACGAGCGTGATCGAAATTAAAAGATCCAAAAAAGTCATTGAAAACTATTTTATAATGCATTGAGTGTGCTTACGTATCACTAAATGCTCATATCTGTCATTTAATAAACCTATACACTGAAATATTAAATTCCTTTGTACATGACTCTAAACGCCACCACGTTTTGTCTCTCTATATATTTTTATTATTAAAGTATAACAGTAGGACACGTAGTTTTCTGTCACGTGCATTTAAAATTTTAACGCTGCCGTTAGTGTATTGATTGCCTAAAAACAAAATCCTCAATATAACATCTAATGCGTAAAATCTTCATCATAATCAGTCGAGTTTTGCACATACCATGTATTGCTTTAAATCCCAAAGCAAATATTCATTTTAAGAAGTAAGGTCTGTTCTTACTGCTTCTGTCTAATTAAGAAACTGGACTTAAATATATTACGTTAAATCATCAGTTAATAGTTAAAATTCAATCACAATATTTTAAGCCAGAAAAACATGCGTCATGGCAAAAACTCCCACACGTAACATAATTGCACTTGAAGATGACGTCTGTAACACAAAATCAGATCAAACACGTAAAGAGATTTCATTTATTGTTTTCTGTTCTTTATAAAATTTTCAGATTTTCGTTTCTATAAAATAAGTGTAAAACATTTGTACATCTTATAATCGTACAATTCTAGTAATGAGCCTAATGTTTGAATTTCAGGCTAATCGTTAATATACTAAAATTACCTTACCTAAAATATTCACCGCCGAATCTCCGCCCTTTTTATGCGTGTTTATATATACATGTACAAGCAACGTATGGACTTGATTATGCTGTTGTCGTATTGTCCCCAAACTGACAATTTTGTTTCGAAGACCTCGGAAAGTTGATACTTATTTTGTCGTTGGAATTGCTGACAGAAACTTCAGCCAATAACTTAAAACAACAAAAAGTGGATATGCTTCAGTCCTATTGGTCAGCGCTGTAGGCTACGTATGCCTGTTGCGCGTGTCGGCAGTCCCTCGGTGGTCGATGAAGTTTTCAATCTTTGTAACAGGATAAGGTTTGAGTGAACCTTGACCACCGCTGATCACTGCAAATCACAAGCCAATGTTTAGCTTCTTACTGAGCTTGGGCACATAAGTTATGTTTCAAACATTGGTAGGTTTTCAGTACGTTGATAAAAAGGCACCTGGTTTTCAGTCACGCAGCTGGTATAGTCCGTGTGTCTCGTGAGACGCGTGACGTTGTCTTCTAAACTGTTTTGCACGTGCCTCGTGAGCGCGTGAAGTGCCACTCTGTGAGGTTCTTTATGCAATCTTCAAGCGCGTGATGAGGTTGTCTGAGCATAAGTTTCCCGCATAGGGCTTGGGGCGCGTGACGTCCCAACTTGTACAGGGCAGTTTGTGGCAGCAGGTGCCACTGCAGAGTTGGTTTGGCGCTTGTTTCAGACATTGATGTATTTAGGACACCGCCCCAAAAAAACTCGACTCCAATCATGACGACTGGACGTGGGCGTGTTATTATTAAATCACAGACAAGGCCTTCTTCATAAACTCACTGTGAAAGTATTTTTAAAAATAAATTTTGATTCATTAATCAAATGAACGCAGAAGTGACATGTTTTAAACATAAACATGGCCGTCTGTCGCGCTAACTTTAAACGTATAACGATTAAAATCAGAAATACTGCCTTACCCAATACTTTTCGTTCAGCTAATTCTAACTTAATATTAAACATAACCGACCATTCTCATCGCTTTTACCGTTTTTCCAGTAGTTTTCATGTTAAAATGGAACATAAATATGTAAAATAACACAAGGTTTCTAGAAAACACTTCACATCGTGTGTCACAGAAAAAAAAACGTAAAAAATTAGCTGGTGTTTTTTTAATTTAAAAAATACTCTTGAGTAAGAGATAAGTAAGATAACGTTATTTTCAGAAATATATTAGACGCAATAAGTCATCTATAAGATTGAACTAATACATTTTCCCATTAAAAACTAGAGACAAAAACTATCAAACGATAACAAAGATATCCAAATTCCTTACCAGGCTGAATCCACCAATCGCAAATTGTAAAATCTTTTAAATAACATAATTTGTAAGAAACAGAAACGAGACTTTAAACCAAGTTTTCCTAAGCTTAGGCCTAGCATAGTAATAATAACAAGTTTCATATCGTCAAGTACGTTTGTCCGTTACTAGAACTGACCCAGTTCTCTAATAACAAAGTTGTGAAAACAAGAAATATTATACTAATAGCAAGTCTCTGAATTGAATCTCTTAATCAAGCGACATCTCTTTAAATATAGAAAAAAAAATGTTTTCTTTTTATATAAATACTTTTTAATTTTTCAAATATTTACTACATTTGGTTTTGAAGTCACTATAAGATATCCAAGATTCTTTGTCATTAACAGTTTCAAGTCATTTAAGCATTTTCCACAAAGAAAAAAATCAAAATGTGACCAGTGAATGTCATTAAATATTTAAATTGTTTTGTACTGTTTAGCAAAGGAACTAAAACGTTTATTTGTTCATTAAAACAGTCCACTTAAATATATATATTGAAGGTGTTCTAGAGAGTATGTTCTTTTATTATGCATTCTTCTAATAATACAAAAACCAGAAAGGCCATACAGTATGTTATGACACTGTAAATTGGTACTTCTAGATACAACGTTTTATCATATTTTGCCTAATGACCATTACAAAATCAAAGTGGTTTCGGTAATTTATACAATGATTTATTATGAAAATATTTTCTTATTAAGTTTGATCATAGCCTAAAGCAAGTTTACAAGTCAGTAGTAGTTCATAAATGACTCTAAGACCTAAGTTGTTAAAGCGAGTACGCTTGTGGGATATTTCACTGTCCTAAAAAGTGTTACTTGTCTCAGTGTGACGTATTTTCAGTTTGCATATTGTAATTTATCTCAGGGAACGAAGCTATAGTCTACAGTCACATAAAATCTTATTTAAAGTCAAAAACGAAACGCCAACATTTATATATGCTGAGTTTGTTTAATAAGAATGTTTTATTTTACTTTAGTTACAATAAGTGACCCGTGAATGCTTTATATTTAACATAGAAACGTTTACGAAGAAAAAAAGTTTTTTTTTTCCATACAACAAAGAACCTTATTGTAGCATTCACATTTTATAACTTCCATTTCAAAATACTTAACGATTTTGATAACTGTAGCCAATAAAAGGAGAAGGAAGTAACCTGCACATGATTCATGGAACTTCATGTAACTGAACAATAATTGTTATGCATCATTTATATAGACATGCTTATGGAGATAGCCTGCTAGAGAGGGCATTTACTCTTAGAGCAAATGTAAAAACGTGAATGATTTATTTTTATTTAGCAATTGAACATTTTCTACACAAAGCTAATTTAGTTTGAAACGTAAAGTAAACGATGTCTTGTAGCGTAACTCGCATTTTGTAAGTTAACTTTAACATGTTTTTACACGTACAGAAATCTTTGTAAAGTTGCGCAAAATTTTTTGGAAGATTTGTGGGCTTGAATATTTATATAATAGAAAAATGAATCATTGTTACTTTTTTACACTTGTGTTGTTATAAATCAAACAACTGCCTATCATTTATCGTCACCATTTTATCAATATCCTCTTTAACCCCCAAATCAATTATTTGCATCACATTTAAAACATTTATTTCAATATCATTGAATCAAGATATTATACATCCGATTTGTAAATTTGCACAGTTTCAGAATAAAATAATTAAACTTCTACAAGTCTGGCGAATTAGCTTTAGGTTTCACTCAAAATTACTTGTTATTTCTCGTCAAAACTTAAAAACTGACGTTGCACTTTTACTTCCCCTTTACGGACGCCACATTGAACTGAAGCAACGATACAGTAGTCCTTCAGTGTTTATCTTCTAAAGTTACGTGAGTTCTTCAAATTCTGATTGTGGTTTTCATTTGGAAACGCCATACATAAATTAGGAAAACACTGCAAATTAAGTTACTAAAACTCTGTCATCTAAAACTGTTGACTTTGAGACAGTTTCATAAAGTAGTAGCAATCCACTATTAACTTTACTACAACGGATTGCTACTTCTGATAATGACCAATATCAACTTTGCTACAACGGATTGCTGCTTCTTTTAATGACCACTATCAAGTTTACTACAACGGATTGTTGTTTCTTTTAATTACCAATATCAACTTTACTACAACGGATTGTTGTTTCTTTTAATTACCAATATCAATATTACTTACCAATTAGTAATTATATAACTTATTCCAAATAATCGCATAAAATACGTACGTTTTAAACTGCAGACTATTTATAATTATAGGAACTTCTGAGTGAAAGTAAAGAAGAATATATATTAACCACATTTTATCTATTACATCCAGTGCAGACGAGGCCCTTCGTCCAATACCACGATTCTTCAAGCCAGCTAGGATACGACAAGCATAGTAGTAATAATGGTTGAGACGCTATTGAAATTTAAAAAAAAATTCCTTGAACAATAACTGTTTCGGTATAAACTGGATTAAGAAGGTGAATTTTAATTTTTATCAATTGTTTTTATGTTACTACATATCAAAATTATGGTAAGAATTTTAACGCTATGTTATTTAATTATATTAGCATCAATTTATTATTACTTGAATTAGCCTGATCATCATTCATAAGACCATGGCGAACCAGCAAGCTAGTCCAGTCTCCTTAATCCCAGAGCCGGTCTAGCTACCACAGTATAATTATTAATGCTAACTTCTAAGTAAAAATTAAGAAGCGTGTATTACCATACATCAACAACATCATATCCGCTATATTCAGTGCCGACGAGGTCTTTCGCTTAATACCAGGGCTCTACACGCCGGCTAGGATTCAGTAGACATAATAGTAGTTGAGACGCTAATATATCGTTAACATCAACATAGGATAACTATCCTTTAACACTTAGAACATAGCGGTGCAGTCCAAAATTATTACATGAAGCTTGGGCTGGTCAGGTAAGAACTATACTCGGTTACAAAGTCACACGTAACAACAACAACAAAACAGTAATTGCTCAGGATAATAAAAAAAACTGTACACATTTTACTGCAATTCGTATTACTATTTTCAATGTTTTAAATCTAAAATTGTGGTTTTGTTATAAACTTAGCCAACCATTTTATTTCGGTTGTTTAATGTTTTTATTATTATTATTAAATTTGGAACTAATATAGAGAAAATTCAAACGCAAGAGTAAATTTCGAGAATATTGTATGTCTGTCTGTTCACATTAAACCTGTAGATCGCAAACTAGTACGCAAACACATACACACCATGATTTTGAATTATCTTTAATAATTTAACAGCCTAATAAGTATTGTACCAAGTGTACCATAGTATTATATTTAATATATATGATTGGGTACGAAAGTGTTATATCGGTACCTCCTACAAAATCATTTCTCCGTACTGTGTACGTACTGAATACGTCTTTCTAAGCGAAAGGTATCCCACTAACCATCGCCAAACACTCGTTGGATTACAGTGATACACTAACAATCGCTAAACACTCGTTGGGTTACAGTAATATTCAGCCATCCAGACAGAAGTTCAAAATGGATTTATAGACCAGCAATGAAAGTTACGGTGTCATTGTAAACCTACGACATGCGACTTAAAAGCCAGCGCTACCTCTGAAAATTAAACTCTCGCATAGAGTGTTCAGTATATGTCTTGATTCTTTAACCTTCGAAGCGCCTTCCTCTTTAGTATATGTCCCGATTATTTAACCATCGAAGTGCTTTCCACTTCAATATGTCCCGATTCCTTAGTCTTCGAAGTTCCTTATCTCTTGTATTTAACCCCAGGTTTTACAAACTCATGGTGTCAGTAAACTCGTTACTAAACGTGACTGCCAGTAACTTTGTAGACAACGGATTATTAAACCTCATGGTTACAATAATTACAAAAATAGCAGAAGAAATATACAATACGGGAGGATTCTCTCTTCAGAGAACGCACGAGTGTCTATTCCAAAATTTCAAATCAAAACTGACTTCAGAAGCTCATTTGAGAGTTAAATCTGAACTCAAGTTGTTTTATCGTTTCAAACGAGATAGATTTAATAAGCAATAAAAATCAGAGCATTTGATTCTGACAATGAATAAACCATAGCAAGAACTTGCGTAGAATAACTTTATAAATGTACATATTGGGCAGGCAAGACATTATTCTGAGAAACTACACAGTCTCTCTCTCTCTCTTGGACAAGAAATGTATTTTAAGTTTTTCACGTCACAGAGTTTTATACGACATCGATTGAAAGTTACATTATATTCAAGACAGCCTTGTTCTTTTAGTTCCTTACATATCTGCAGGGGGAACTTTTTATCGTTGTTACA